TGTGTGTGTGTGTGTGCGCGTGCGCGTGCTTCCGCGTGTGTGTGTATGCACGTGCTTCCGTGTGTGCATGTGTGTGTAGGAAAATGAAACCGGCCACGATAATTTAATTTCTTTTAAGAAATCAAATCACAGTGTTTCGAACTCTTCAAGAGTAATAAATAACCAAAATGGATCCATTGGAAACGTTAATCAAGAGAACCTCTTTATTTTTTTCTTTCATTGTTTAATGTTTGTTATTTTGATTCACTATTACAGCACTGATTGAAACGTGTGTGTGTGTGTGTGTGTGTGTGTGTGTGTGTGTGTGTGTGTGAAGGTGTGTGTCTCTATATATGTATATGTGTGTGTGTGTGTGTGAACATATATGCATGTGTGTGTAAACATGTGTGTGCGTGTGTACGTGCATGTGAAAACAGCAACAGGAACGTGTACACAAAGAAGAGGAAATAAATAGTAACGTTTCGAATGGATCCATTTTGGTTATTTATTCGTCTGATGAGGAAGTCTTGAAGAGTTCGAAACACACACACACACGCGGAAGCACGCGGAAGCACACACACACAATCACACATGCACACACGGAAGCACGCGCGCATACACACACACGGAAGCACACACACATGCACACACGGAAGCACGGGCACACACACTCTTACACACACGCACACATACACATACACACAAACACAGACATATATTTGATTGATTACAGTATCATCTCCAGTTGTGGTAACAGGATAAAGGCTCTGCTGATACAGCGAGGATCCCACGCAGATAGCATCAGGGTGCCAGCTGAGAGGAAACTTCGGAAGCAGTAGCTGCATGAGCTCGCCCGCGGGGCCAACGGGCGCTGTGTGGCTCCTGCAGTGAGCGGAGCATCACCTCACCATGGCGCTGCGGAGGATGATAGCAATCCTGCTCCTCACGTGGAGCGGCGTGTGCTTTATTGTCCACGATCAGGAAGGTGAGTGTATCGTTAAATGCTTGTGTGTGAGAGTTTTGTAAAGCGTAAATTTTCCGTTGCAGAGCTAAGGATATGATATGATATATATATATATATATATATATATATATATATATATATATATATATATATATATGTATATATATATGTATATATATATGTATATATATATATATGTATATATATATATATATATATATATATATATATATATATATATATATATATATATATTTATTTATATGTATATTGGCCAGCCAATCAGAGTAGTCAGGTACTTTTCCATTTTATTTGAAGCTTCCTCAGTGTTTTCCTTGTGTGTGTGTGTGTGTTTCTATAGATAGATAGATAGATAGACAGACAAACAGATAGATAGATATTCAAAGGAATTATGGGTGTGTATTTTTTCAATTTGCCTATTGTATGACCGCAGAAATTCTTTAGCATCACGTTTATCATTTGATTATTTTGATTAACAGAATGTGTTCTCTCTTTCGCAGGCTGCCTGGTAAAGGAAAGCTTAACAGCTCGTCTTAAAAACAGAGATTCGGTGACCTTCCGCGCTCTGACGCGATCTCACTCGCCCATCTTTGAGGCTGTTGTTACTTGCAGCGAAGAAGCCACACTACATGACAAATTTTCTCTCAGTGAGCAACACATTTCCTTCACAAGAACAAAGAAATATGGAGACACTGAAAACAAGGAGTTCCAGTCCCCGGAAACTAGCGAAGTATGGACGAATTTCTCCCTTGTTGCGAAATCTGGGGGATACCGGCTGGAGGATTCCAAAGGGCACACGTGGATGTCGGAGACTGACACGCAAGGCTGCCAGGCAGATGAAGTCACTCTTGCAAAGGGTACTTTCATGGGCGAGTGTGGCAACGGATTACCTACATGGCAGGTATCAGAAGGGAAGTGTGTGGAGGTTCCCATATCGTTACTAGACTCGTGCTGGTCTCTACAAATCTCTCTCTTGTCAAGCACGCCATTCACTCCTTCCTTTGAAGTTGGAGGAGCCAAGTTCGCCTTGAGCTGGGCCAACGAAGCCCTTCTGGTGGTGACCGGAGACGACAAGGAACCTTTGCCCTCAAATAAACGTCCCACCTTTGTGTTGTCAGCTGAAGGGAAGACTACATTGAAGGTAACACTGCAGTTTGCAGTTGAGATTCAGGAGAAGAACTATGTAAGACAAGGTAACTATAACGTTTTTCGTCGCGTTACAGGTATTGGTGGATGGCCACGTCGCCCATGTAGTGAGTCCGACATCTGAGCCCAAAGTTATCTTAGCGTGCGGGGAACGTGGACACTTCCATCTACTGCAGCACCCGGAAGCGAACGCCTGTGAATACGGATTAGGTGAGTGGTAATTCGATCTCAATGCAAGTGTGCTTTTAGGATATCGCATGTTCTTTTTCCATCGCTCTATCCCCGCTTCCACGGACTAACCTCGGTTCGTTATTTAGGTCTTTTTTTTTACAAATCACTGTCGTCATCTGAAAAGAGGTAAAGATACTTTTTTGAACTACCGAAAACTTTTCCAAGTATTGAATTTCAGTGTAACTGCCAGGACCCGCCTCACACATCACTCTAATGCTTAGGAACTGTAAACCCAAAATTCCTGATTCAGGCGAGGAGACAGCTAGCAGATAGATGATTATAGATATATTTTCAATTCCCTTTCAGATAAGGTCCCTTTCATTGTGGCAGGAACCTCTGTCGGCATTTTGATAGTGACGGCGTTATTTGTCTTCCTGTGTTGCAAGGCACGGGTGAGTTTTTCTCTAGCGCCATATTGAATGTATTTTCATTTTTTTTTCTGTTGAAGTATTTTCATTTCAAATTGAACCTAGGATATAATTTAGAGAACGGTTAGTTTTTTCTAACACTAACACCATGCGCTAACAAACACGCTCACACACATACACACGCACCCACATATTTATATATACAGTATACATATACATATATACATATATATACATATATATACATATATATACATATGTATACATATATATACACATATCTCTATAACACACACATATATATATATACAGCTATATATATAAATATATATATATATATATATATATATATATATATATATATATATATATATATATATATATATATATATAATGTATATGTATACACAAACATACACACACACACACACACATAGAAATATATATATATATATATATATATATATATATATATATATATATATATATATATATAATGTTATATATATATGCTTATATATATGTGTGTGCTTGTGTATGTATATATGTATATATACATATATATATATATATATATACACACATATATGCATATATACATATAAATATATACATATATATATGTGTGTGTGTATGGCTGTATATACGCATATACACATATGTATATATAATTATGCATAATATATATAGATGAATATACATATATATACACGTATATATATATAAGACACACACACACACACATATTCTTCTTCTTTGTCTTTCGGCTTATCCCTGCTACGTTTAGGGGTCACCACAGCGAATACACACACACACGCACACACACACACACACACACACACACACACATATATATATATATATATATAGTCCTGGGTAAGACTTTAAACTGCATCCAGTTATGAGGCTCTGGGCTGGAAGACCTACAGTTTGGGGAAAGTAGAGCTGCCCCTTAATCATAACTGCTCTCAGGTCCACTTTGACCCGGAGTGGTAGCACCTGTCAGGGTCCCCGGTATGGGGTACGTACCTCCACTGCCTTGTGGAAGTCATGGGAATGACAAAGGCTAGGGGAGTAAACCCCGACAGACAATCCGGAGTGGAGACCCGAAGGCGGCTGGTTCTTGCACTGCAAAACCCTCCGGCAACTCCTGCATCCAAACTGGCGCCAACTATATTGGCTCGTCCTTTCCGTTGGATCCTGCCAGCAAGGCTAGAGAGGGGGGTCCTAACGACTGGGCATCCTAGGTCCTCCATATTTTTCGCCCTGGCCTGCGCCCTGGAGAGGTCACTCCAGTGCCGCATCCCGCGGCATCACAACACGGGGAGATGGCAGTTACCGGTTAAAAGTCCAGAGCTTATTGGCGTTAGCTCGGACGCCTGGGGCTGTCTCCCGTCGGTGGGAGGGACCATCGCGTCCTACTGGCCAGCTACCGCCCGCCTTAAGCTGGGCAGCCCCCAGCCAGTGAGGTGCTGGCCCGCCACAGTTCGTCTACTCCAGTGGGTGCCTGGAGTGTAGGCCAAAAGCCGAAAAGCGGACTGCAACCCCTGCACCAGGCAAAAATGAAAGAAAGAAGCCGCCAGGGCTGAAACTGGCAACCTGGAATGTCAGAACAATGTGTCCTGGCCTGTCTGACGACCTCCAACTAATAGACGATGCCAGGAAAACCGCCATCATTGACCGCGAGCTGAAGAGGCTCAACATCGACTTTGCAGCACTGCAAGAGACACGACTCCCCGGAAGCGGTTGTCTGAAGGAGAGTGACTATACATTCTTCTGGCAGGGGCAAGAGTTACATGAGCGCCGTTTCTACGGCGTCGGCTTCGCCGTCCGAAACTCCCTCCTGTCCACCATAGAATCGCCCTCTTCAGGCACACCACGAGTCCTCTCTCTCCGCCTCACCACCTCTTCTGGACCAGCCAATATCCTTAGTGTCTATGCCCCTACACTCAGCTCAACAGCGGAGGCTAAGGATCAGTTTTATGAGGAGCTCGAGGCGAAGATCAGGCAGATCCCCGCCAAGGAGCATCTGTTCCTACTCGGTGACTTTAATGCCCGGGTAGGAGCAGACCACGACTCTTGGCCTTGCTGCATCGGCCACTTTGGCGTTGGAAATATCAACGAAAACGGCCAGCGCCTCCTCGAACTCTGCTCCTTTCACGACCTCTGTCTCACGAACACCTTCTTCGCCACCAAGCTTCATCACAGGGTATCTTGGAGACACCCAAGGTCCCGTCATTGGTAACCGCTGGACCGCTCTCGTGGATCCACCAGGAGAACCCTGCTAAACCATGTGCTGGTCACGCGCAGTTATCACAGTGCAGACTGTGACACCGACCACTCTCTGGTTGTCAGCAAGGTGCGTCTACTTCCCAGACGGGTCCACCTCTCCAAGCAGAAGCCCTGACCCCGCATCAACACAGTCAGAATCAACAACCCTGAGCTGCGGGAACACTTCGCCAAAGCCATCGATGTAGCCCTTGAGGGTTGCCCAGCTGGCAGCGCTACAGAGCGGTGGAACCACATCCGTGAGGCTGTGTTTCAGACTGCCATGGGTACCTTTGGGAAAAGAGAGAGAAAGAGTGCAGACTGGTTTGAGTCAGGAGTCGCTGAGCTGGAGCCCGCTATCGCTGCTAAGCGAGCTGCCCTACTTGCCCACAAAAATTACCCCTCCATGAAGACGCTCGCGACACTTCGTGCTGCTTGCTGCAACACACAGAGGATCGCCAGACGCTGTGCTAACAACTATTGGTCGAGCCTCTGCCAAGACATCCAGCTCTTTGCAGACATGGGCAAAGTGCGGGGTATGTACGATACTCTGAAAAAAGCTTTTGGCCCAAGCACCATCAAGACTGGCCCCATCAAATCTGCCGAAGGCGTGCTCATCAAAGACCGCAGCAAGCAGATGGAGAGATGGGCTGAACACTTTCAAAAGCTCTACTCGAGAGAAACTACAGTCTCCAACACAGCCCTCGAGCGTACTCATCCACTACCTACTATGGACGAACTTGACGCACCACCTACAATTGAAGAGCTCAGCAAAGCCATTGACTCCCTAGCCAGCGGAAAAGCACCAGGCAGCGACAACTCCCTCCTACAACATCTTCACATGCTCCTTCTGCAGTGCTGGGAGGAGGGGGCTGTGCCCCAGGACATGCGCAACGCCATGATTATCACGATCTACAAGAACAAGGGAGAACGGTCCTGACTGCGATAACTCCCGCGGCATTTCGCTCCTCAGCATTGTCGGCAAAGCCTTTGCCCGTGTCGACCTCGACAGACTGCAACTCCTTGCTGAGCGTGTTTACCCTGAGGCACAGTGTGGATTCAGGACCGCCAGATCAACCATTGACATGGTGTTCTCTGTGAGGCAGCTACAGGAGAAATGCCGGGAGCAGAGACAGCCCCTGTACCTGGCTTTCATCGACCTCACCAAGGCCTTCGATCTGGTTAGCCGAGATGGACTGTTTGCCCTCCTCCAGCGTATTGGATGTCCTCCCAAGCTCCTGAGTCAGATCGTGTCCTTCCACCAGGATATGAGCGGCACTGTCCAGTTTGACGGATTATGCTCGGAGCCCTTTCCGATCAGAAATGGAGTGAAGCAGGGCTGCGTCCTTGCCCCGACCCTCTTTGGCATTTTCTTCTCCCTGCTCCTATCACACGCTTTCGGGGACTCCGATGACGGCATATTCATTCACACCAGAAGTGACGGAGGGCTCTTCAACTTAGCATGCCTTCGAGCAAAGACCAAAGTAAGAAGGTGCTCATCAGAGAACTACTCTTCGCTGATGATGCTGCCCTAGCTGCACACACTGAAGCAGGGCTGCAGCGACTCATCGATCGCTTTGCAGCCGCCTGTGCAGAGTATTGGCCTCACCATCAGCCTCAAGAAGACCCAAGTCATGGGCCAGGATGTCAGCAGCGCCCCCAGCATCTCCATTGGCGATCACACTCTCGAGGTGGGTGGAGAAGTTCACCTATCTCGGGCCACTATCTCTAGCAACCTCTCCCTTGATGCAGAGCTGAACACCAGGATTGGCAAGGCAGCGACCGCGATGGCCCGCTTGACGAAGCGAGTCTGGGACAACACCATGCTCACCATCAACACCAAGATAAGAGTATACCAGGCCTGTGTACTGAGCACTCTCCTGTTTTCCTCCAGATGAAGCATGGCACCCCCTCTAATCCGGGCCGGAAGGCCAGGCTGCATCTTTACACCTAGTTGCCTCCGTCCCAAACACCACTGTCTTCGGTCATTCACTTGGCGGAACCGCGTCAGGCCCAACATCCGCCCGTCTTCAGCCAAGGCAACGGGGATCAACAGCACAAAGAGACCAGCCATTCAACATGTCCCAGCACGAACTGCGGTTGGGGTTGTGTGTGGTACATGGTGACCGAACATGGATTCTTGCTTCGGCTCCCCCACCGACATGGGCTGTCGGGGCAGGGGCCGTGCGCACCATGACCCACAGACGCCCATCCCTACGCCTACCAGGATGTGTTGGTAAGGGCGCTACTCATCAAAGCGTGTAGGCACCTCAACTTCCTGACCATGGATGCCCGGCTCTCAAGACCGCTCCCGGCTGGCGTCAACATCCGCGGCTCTGTCCACGATGGGAAGGGGGTCAGACAGTCATACCACCCCGGTCGGAGGGGGAAAACGTCTCGCGACAGCAGCGCACTGCAATCGGCCCCACCTCGATGATTCATGAGCCATGTCCAAGGCCAACCTTACCCCTGCCCATATTGTCGGCACGGCATGCCAAATTCTCGCATCGGCCTGTACCAGTCACACCAGGAAGCTGGCCAACTCACTGACCTTTAGGTCACCGACGCAGATCTCCCATGAATCTCTCGGAGATCGAGGAATGCACAAACATTATAGCTATATATATAATATAATGTATATAGACTCTATAATATATATATATATGATATGTCTATATAATATATCTATAACTATATAGTGTGTGTGGTGTATTACTTATGGTATATATACACATACACACTAACACGACCGCGCACACACACACGCCCAATACACTCCACCATTATATCCATTAATGACACTTATATAAGCTTATATATAGAATATAGATGCGGCTAGATCTTAGATATATATATATATAGATTAGAGATTATATACACAAGATAATAGATATACATCTGATATAGAGGATATAGACTAGTAGAGATAGAGATTATATTTAGAGACGATATATAGATATATGCAGAGATAGGTATATAGGCATATATGATATAGATTATAGAGGAAGATAGGATATAGTATGATATAGCTGTCTAGAGATTAGGAGAGATACGAGATATATAGGTGAGGGAATATAGAATAGCTAGAGGTCGATATTATATAGTGATATATAAACGAGTTTGTATATATATCAGTATATAGATATATATAGGTATTATTATATGGTGTGTGTGAGGTTATGTGTGGTGTGTGTGCGCGCGCGCGCGCGGTCGGGGTAGTGTTCTATGTGTAATCTATCATAAGTATATACACCAAACCTATATATCTAAAATACCACAACAGACACACACACACACACACACAACAGCACACACATCACATCACAGGCACACCCACCAGCCACAAATACACCCACACAGTACACATCACCCACATCACAACCACCACGCACACAACACCAACCAAACCACCCACACACCAACCCATCATAATCAGATATGATACTCAAGAGAGAATCTATATATATATATATCGTAATTACTAGATATGATAGATAATCTAGATAGTATACTATAAGATGTACGGATAGATGTAGACCGAGGATATATATAGATATAGAGATATATAGATATAGTATATAGAATAATATAGTATAGCTATTTTTGCGTAATAGGGGTATCACATAGATATAGATACTATATCTCATCGATATATCTATATATATATATATGTATTATACTGATTATTATATATATATCTATACCATATGCATAAGGTATCTGGTATTATACATATAGGATGTATATATAAAAACATATACCACCAATATATAAATATATATGACTCAATACACCACACACCACTCAATCGCTATATTATATATAATATTATATATATCTATGATATATTATACTATATCTATTAATTATAGATATTAGTATATATATTTATATATATATAATATATAATAATAATCAATAATAATTACTTAATAATAATAATGATATAGATAGTCCTATACATATGATAACAACACACACACACAATACACTATATTAACTATATATAATATATTATATATAGTATATAATATATATATTATATTATATATATATATTACAATATACATATACATATATATATATATATTAGAGTATACTAGTATATTATATAGAGATATATATACTATATATATATATAGTATATATATGTATATATATAAAAACGTATAATTAAGATATATTTATTAGTATATAGTTATAGTATATATATATATAGTATATATATATAATATGGGTGTTGGGTGTGTGTGTGTGGGTGTCTGTGTTTGTGGGTGGTGTGTCTGGGTGTGTGTATGTATATCTATTAGAATCTCAACTACTAAAACATATATCACAGTCCCAAACTACTCACATCCCACAACACAAAACACAAGAACCTGCGAGGACACACGCCAAACAGGACATAGTGTATATCATATTATATTACAGAGGATGGTCTGCTATAATATATATAGATTATATATAATATATAGAGTAATATATATATAATAGATATATATATGGTATATAATATGTATGTAGTATCGTATACAAATGGACAATGCATACACACATTAAACATATTACCCGTCACAAACATACTCAGTTACACCTACAGCAAAACACACACGATATTATGGTAAATATTAATACTTATATTATCATATATAATATAGATATATATATATATATAGTTATATATAGATAATATATACAGATGAAAGGATATATAGGAGAGTAGGATATATATATAGATCGATATATAGTATATAGATGAGATATACTATTATATTAGATAGTATATTCAGATAGCGTATAGAAATATTATGATATGACATACATTACATTCGATATATATATATATGATAGAGATGTGCATATATATATAGTCGGATAGGTATAGAAGATGATATAAGAGATATTGGAAAGTACAGAGATATATAGAGTTAGATGTGGATATAAATATAGTAGTAGATATCCCCCCCGCAACCCCGACTACCCCCGACCCTACCGAGACCCCCCCCGATTAACCCGTAATATATATATGACATCATTATAAACATAATAGATCTATATCTATATCTATCTCTATTCATCATTATCTATCTATTATCTATCTATCTTATCTATCTATGCTATATATATTAAATATATATATAATATAGTAAGACATATATAATTTAATACATGGCGTTAAAAAAAAGAAAAAGAAATGGTATATGTATAGCATCATAAATGGTATGTATAAGGATGGCATACTAAATATTATATATATATATTATATTATATATATAAGATCTTATACAACTAATAGATATTATGTATATCTATATATGTCTGTGTGGGTTATGTAGGTTGATATGCATCTAGATATGATATATATATCTATATATATCTATATATAGAGATATATATATATCTATATTATATATATCTATACCATCCCTACATAGCATCCATACATATCTATCTCTTATATATATATATTATATCTATATATATATATATATCCGAGCTCTCTGTCTCTATCTAAAATATAATTCTAGTCTCTCTATATCATCTCTTATCTTCTATATATACTAGTCTATATTATATATATATCTCTAGTCTCTCTATGCAGCGTATGCACACTCTGCGTGTCGGTACTCAGCCGAGGTGAAGAACTGGCTTTTACTGATGTGCTGTGCAGGATTGTATTAGATATATCGTATGGATATATATCTTATCTCATATTCATCTATCTATCGGATCTATCTATCAATCTATAATATATGTATATATACTGTATATACATCTTTATACATATAATATGGATATATATATTATATATATCTCTCATCTATCTAGCTATCTATCTATCTATATATATACATATATAGATATAATATATAGATAGATCGATATACCAACATAATATTTATATATCGATATAGATTATAGATAATTATACTATATAATATATATAGTATTATATAGATACTATACACACACACCACACACACACACACCACACACACACCACAACCACCACACACATATATCTAATATATATATATATATATATCTATATATATATATATATATCTCATATAATATATATACATAGAGAATATATATATATATGATATATATAGTATCTATATATATGATAAATAGATCTAGATCTATGGATGTAATATATAGTATATATCTATATCATATTATATTATATATCTATATATATATATATATAATATTATATATATGTATCAGATATCTGTGTGTGGTGCGTGTTGTGGGTGATATATATCGTATATATATCATATAGATTATATATATATATTATAGATATCTATATCATATATATAATCTGTCCATATATCTGTGTGGTTGAGTGTGTGTGTGTGATATAAAGATATATATATATATATATATCTAGATCTATATAGATATACATATATTATTATATTATATGTACATATATATATATATATATATATATATATATATATTATATATTATAATTATCGATATAGAATATATATATATATGTGTGTGTGTGTGTGTATATAATATTTTTTTTGTGACCTAGATGTATATATAGGGATATATGTCTCCACTATATATCCATATATATATCTATATATATATATATATATTATAATTATATAATATATATATATAATCTATATATATATATATAGTAAATATATAGATAATACTATATATTATATAAATATGTACCGAACAGAGACTATAATATGGGATGTAAGAGAACTATAGATATGTATATAGATATATGGTATATATATACTACATTCATACATATATATAGTATTATACTAATAGATTTAGATAGATAGAGTACTTTTAGAATATATACTATCTGATATATGTCTTAGATAGAGATAAGATATATAACATTATATATATATAT